GAATAATTTATATTGAGAGGCATTATTGTATACCTGATAGAGTTCCAGCCTCAGAGTTAGAGAAACCTTGGTTCGGAGCTTGCCTCATATACTATCTGATCCTAGTCAGATTTGTTACTCTTTCTGTATCCTGAAAAACTTATAAGACTCTTAAGAACAGCTGCCTGTATATATCTGCATTGGTAAGAAGGATTGAGTTATGAGGGGACATAGTTGTGAGGCAATGCATTGTAGTAGAAAAGCATAAGATTAGGGATTAGGAGACTTCGTTGATTGAACAAACACTTATTAATGGCTGCTATAACCAGACACTGCTAGATGCTGGAGATGCCAAAAAAAAAAAAAAGAAGAAGAAGAAGAAAAGAAAAAGAAACAGGGCATACTACCCTCAAGGAACTTAAATTCTTTTGGGTTCTTGAGTTGTTATCCCAGCCCTGCTTCTAATTTGCTAATTATAGTAGGTGTTAAAGAAATGCTTTTTTATATTCTTAATCAGTAAGGCTTAAAGTGCCTACCATGTGCCAAACATGTTATTAGGAGATAAAAATACAAAGAATGAAACAGTCCGTTCTCACAAGGAGCTTACATTCTAACCAGTGTTCTTAACAGCTTTCATAAAGACCTATTTTCATTGTAATAAGAATTATGATATAGAAGACATGATAAAAAAAGGAATGCCCAAGTATTGGCACATACATCATTTTAAGATAATAAGAAGAAAGTATTTCAAAATAAATGTTTCAGTGAGTTCATTTATTATTTTTCCTAATGACTACATTAAAAATACCTTTTTACATTTTGTTTAAGGATAAAATTTGTTCCTTGTTTATTTATTCACAACATTGTTTCCTGTTAATTATTTTTTAGTCTGCAAGCAAGTCAGGTTTACTAAACATAGACTTGATTTCCCTCTCAAAACGACAGTTTTTGTTCACAATGTATGTAATGGACTAATCATATAAATTAGTCACCCAGAAAATAATTTTAATGAAATAAATGGTTAAGTGTCAACACCTTTGACTTCCTGTGGTTATTTTGATATAGTATATTCTTTGTTGCTTTGGGAAGTTTAAATTAGCAGTTATAATTTCACAAAGAAAATTACATCAGTAGGAAGAATAACTAGTTGACATCTCAAGATAAAATAAGATCAAATCCATGGAAAGGAGCATAGAAACAGGTATATATAAGTGAAGTCAGCAGTTCTTTCTGTGCTGATGATGTGTTATTTTTTCTTTTTTATAAAATTAAGGTGATCATTTTTCCTATTTAGCATTAATGTTCAACTCAAGTCCTGTGGGTTGTTCAAATCATAAAACAGACTTTTTAAAATAATGATTATTTAATGGTAGATATTTTTAATAGCTGATGTTCTTAATATGTTTTTATAGCATTTTTTTCCTCTTTACAGTTTAAACTAAGATTTAAACATCTATAGTCATGACATTTTCCCCCTCAAATTCACTAAGTCCTTCCCTCTCCTAGTAATCTGGGTATGGCAGGGTGTGTAATTCAGTTCTGTCAGATCTGTTCCATCACTGAAAAGATCCTTTCCCACTACTGCAACTCTGAGCTATGCTATTTAATTTCTATAGATCTGTCATTTGCTTGTGCTAGTTATAAAGGTAATTATAACTGTAATAATCAGTTAAAATAAATCTAATTCCTAAGTAGGGTTTCTGTATACATTTTGGTTTCTGTATAATGATTGCTTTTTTTTTTGCAGTATTGTGGTAGTTTGGAAGGAAGGGGGTAAAACAAGTAGATTTCTGATATAAATACATCCCAAATTCAGTGTTTTTCATCAGTCATCTGTCTACCCAAGAAATCCTCAACATATGTAGATGATAAGCCTGGAGAAATCACATCATGTGTATTTACCTTTGTTGTCCTTGAATCTAGTAATGTTTGCTGTTAATTTTTTCTTCTATTCAGTTATTCAGCAAACAGGGTTAAATTCTCCTGTATGCTCAGCATTGTACTAAGTATGGGGGCAGGATCATGACCTCTACCTGGCCCTCAGTTCTTTTCCAGGCTATCACCTCCACATTGACTCTTCCTCCTTTCTCCATTTTGAGTCCCTTGTCCACTTATTTTGTCAAAGGTCTTGCTCTGTCAAATATCATTCTTGGATTACTCCCACCATCTCCTTCTTTCTCTCCTGTTCTCTTGCTGATGAACATAGCTGGAGAAGAACATGAAACTGCTTATTTGGTACACTGCACATTTATATTGCATGATCTCAAATAGACCCTCACTGTGACAGGGTAGTCCTTTTCACTTCTCTAATCAGTTCCTATGCTACTCACCACAGTGGCTTTTCTAAATCTTTTCATCCCTCCTCAGTCCTCCCATAACTCATCCATTGCTTACCAACCTCAGTTGAGATTTGCCTCATATTTCACAGAAAAAAATGAGGCTATTCCCCAAGAGCTCCTTTTTCTCTACTCTTTATCTCAAAGCATTCAGATGCCTTGTATTACTGTCTCCTCTTTTTACCTATCTCACATGAAGGGAAAGCCTTCTTGCCAAGGCAAATACCTCTACCTGTACAAGTGATTCTATTCCAAACTGTCGTCTTCAGTAGGTTTCCATCTCTGTTATACCTACTTTCTTACTAATCTTTAATTTCTATCTAATGACTGCTTCGCTGTTGTCTATAAACATGTCCAGGTATCTCTCATCCTCAGAAAATCCTCATTTGATTCATCCATCATATTAGTTATCATCCTATATTTCTACTCCCTTCTGTGGCTAGCCTCCTTGAGAGGGCTGTCTATAGTTGGTGCCTCTGCTTCCTTTCCTCTTATTTAACTCTCTGCAGTCTGGCTTTTATTTCAACTCTGTGCTCTGTCCAGGTTACCAGTGTTCTCTTTATTGCCAAATTTAATGGGTTTTTCTCATTTGTCATCCTTTTTGAGCCCTCTGCATCCTTTGACACTATCCGTCACTCCTCTTTATTCTCTCTGGGTTTTTGAAATACTACTTTCTCTTGGTTCTCCTTCCTGTTATGACCACTCTTTGCTTTGTCTTCATCCATGTCAAGCCCATAGCTGTTCCCTATGGTTCTGTCCTAGGCCCTCTTCTCTTCTTCAGCTCTACTATTTTCATTTGGTAACCATATCAGCTCCCTTGGATTCAGTTATGATCTCTGTAGAGATAATTCTTAAATCTGTTTGTCCAGCCCTAACCTTTCTCCTGTGATAGAACTGTGCTGTCTGACACTTCCATGTGCCTGTTGGATATCTAGAACTATATGTCTCATAGATATCTTAAACTCAGCATGTCCAAAACTGAATTAATTACCTTTTCCCCCAACCTCTCCCTGCTTCCAGACTTCTCTATTATCATCAAGGGAATGACCATCCTCCCAGTCAGCCAGATTGCAACTTAGGTGTTATCTTTCGCTCCTCACTCTCAAACCCACCCATATGCAATTTTTTGCCAAGTCCTGTCAATTTTACCTTCTCAGCATTTCTTCTATATGATCCTTTCTGTCATCTGATATTGCTACCACCCTGTTATAGGTCCTCATCTCCTCACGCTTGGACTATTGAAGTAGCCTGCTTGTTGCTCTGCCCTCCACTAACCTCTTCCTGTTCTGTAGTCCATTCTCTACTCAGGGATGATCTTCCTGAAGCTTAAATTCTGATCATGTCACTCTCCTATTCAGTAAATTCTGGTGTCTTCCTTTTGCCTCTGTAATCAATTATAAAATCCTTTCTTTGATTTCTAAAGTTGTTTTCCACCCGGCCTCTTCCTACCTTTCCAATTCTTATGCCTTACACTTCCCCACGTAACTTGATACAATGACACGGACCTCCTTGCTGTTCTTTCACGTGACCTTCCATCCATCTCCTGACTGGTCATTTTCACTGCCCCACACCCAGAACCCTCCCTCCTCATCTCCACTTCCTGGCTTCCTCCAAGTCTGACCTAAAGTTCCATCTTCTGTGACAAATCTTTCCCAGTCCTCTATAATCTTAGTGCTTTCCCTCTGAGATTCTCTCGAACTTATCCTGTATTTAGCTTGTTTGTATGTAGTTGTTTACATGTTTCTCCCCCACTAGACTGAGCTCTTTGAGAGCAAGGACTTTTTTTTGGTGGCCTTTCCTTGTATCCTCAGGGCTTTACACAGTGCCTGGCACAGACTAAGGGCTTAATAATATTTCTAGACTCGATATCTAGATAGTCATGAAGTTTACTGAGGAACTTAAAGTCCTGAATGGAATTTAGAATGTAAAACTGTGGTTCTTAAATGCTAGTGCTAGTCCTTATATTTGTGTAGTGCTCTTAATTTTTTTTCAACATGCTTCCACATTTGCTACATATTTTGGCTACTTTTTTATTGAATCATGCTGTTAATTGGACTATTCTCTTCTGATTCCAGTTGTGAGTACCCAGAAATAGAATTTTAAATAAAATTTGGTGTTCTAAAACAATGTAACTTATAGCCCCATTAATCACTTATCATTTCCAGATTCTAACTACTGTCTTATCTAAATTTGTCATTTGTTTAAAAGGAGTAAATTGGTGAAATTTTTATATAAATACATTAGTTTAGGGGACTCTACAGAAACATTCAAAAGTAGATGGCTGCTTTGATCTGAATAAAAGAATGTAAACCGTGGCTAATTCATAAGAATTTTTTAAGGTAATAGAAATTACTTAAGCCAAAACCACTTCAGATTGCTCAGATACAATATGATTAATAAAGTGAAACATCTCTAATAATTAATAAAGTAAAACTCAGATTCAAAACCCATATAGGTAGATTTAACTAATAGAACCACATATAATTTTTTTTATTCCTTCACTGAGCAGTGCTGTTTTAAACTTAGTAATTTCTGTTTTAGTAAGTTTCATTGTAAATTTCAATATGGGACAAACATACCAGATTTGATATATTATTTTCAGAGTCCTTAGAGGTTTTGATGGGTTTCAGAGAGACAGAGAAAAGAAATCATAGTCTTAAAGTCATTTATTTATTTATTTTTCAGAGGTGGCTGGATCCAAACAAACCAATAAGGAAGCAGTTAAAAAGTGAGCACACATACCTACTTAATGTTTTCCAGGTATGATTTGTAAAGATAAAGAATTAAGATAACCTAATTGATTAGACATACTTCTATTAATTCTAGGAGGATCTCCTTACAGTTTGAACTTGAGAGTCAAATTTTTTGTAAGTGATCCCAACAAGCTACAAGAAGAATATACAAGGTAGGTTAAAGGAGCTTATTTTTTCTGAGTTATGTTATCTGAAAACTGGCATCAGATATGAAAATCATTGAAGCATGAATGAAAAGGACTGTCATTCTCTGTAACTAATTGAAACAATTTGATGATTTTACTGTTCTCTTGGAAATGTGAGCTGCTTATAATCAAACAAAATTTGGCTTTTTTTTAATAGCATGATGTTTTCTTATAGCAATGTATAAAGCATATTCTATATCCATTTTGCCGTCACTGTGGAGAACATAAAATGCTGTATATAAGTTATTTAAGAGCTATTCTATGGAAATTTTTCATTCTTTACATTGTACTTTCTTAAACTCTGATACAGGCCTTGAGGCCACAGGTTCCCCACTCCCTCACTAGTAGTAAGAAAGAAATAATGGCATTTGGAAAAGGTGGTTCAATTGATTTTACTTCAAAGGGTTTCAGTATATCTAGGTCCAGTAGTGTCATTTGTTGGTAGTTAGACTTATTTGATAACAGTTGCGCATGTTTTTATGAAGATGTATTTAACTTCTTCATTCTGACAGGACACACAGGCTTAGGGTAGGTCCTTCCTAGTTAAGGTCACAAGTTATCCAGTTTTGAATTTATGTATTTCACATGACATGAATTGTTCCTTTTGATTCTACTAGAAGAATATTCTGTAGAATGTTTAGAGTGAGACTTGTTTATGTAAGGAAAAGAATGCCGTTATTACATGGTGATTGAATGAATACTCTATAGGAATCCCAGCACAAACTATTGTAGTCGTATCATATTGACCTACCCAATCCCTAACTATCTATTCATTCCTGTCATTAAAGTCTTACTTTTCACATATCTCCAAATGTGGGTTAGTTCTTAAATGTGGAATGAATGTCAATCTAGTATGTGTGTGCTTCTTTTAATAATTACATTTAATCTTTCTATATACTCTATCCTGAAGCCTCATTCAGCATGATGTAGAGATGACTTTTGGTTCTTGAAGAGTCCAAACTGTGGCAGATCCTGCCAAGTTTTCACACGGATAAGTTGCATGTATTTCATCTTAGGACCATCCTAGTTAAATATGAAGAGATTCAACACCAGAGTGACCATCAGAAACCTGATGAACTTTTTGGCCATAACAATTCCTAAAAACTGTCTACTATGTTATAGAGGAACTGAAAACTGAATCAGTAAGGATAGTTCTCATAGTCATGAAATCACAGATATCCTAAGTATTAAAGTATGTGTAACGAGCCATTTAAACTTCTGTAACAGGAGAAAATAAGACAAAGAAGAAATGAACACATTTAGTCTTTATTGTTTTCTTTAGTCCTTTGGAGGGGTGAGGGAAGGATCAGGAACTGTGATATCATTGATATAGAGAACTCCATGTGAGGAAACTCTTTTTGTCAATGGCACCTATTCTGTATTTCATAGTCTTAGGTTCCTGGGGCACTTAGAAATTGAGTAAATTGCCCTGCCAGTGTGTCAGAGGCAGGACTTGAAGATAGGTTTCTTAATTCTGAGACTGGCTTCCTATCCAATATACTATCACACCTCTCTTTCTTTGTTAGTTACCAAGTAAAGTAGGTTGTTTTTCTTCTCCATTGTTGGTCAGAAAGTGAGAACTATATAAGTATTTTTGTTTTTATTATAACAGAAGGTAACTTTAAAAGTTATATTTTTAGTACTTAGTCATGTTTTATTAAAATTTCTTAAAATTTGTTTTATTTGGAGACTTTTATAACTGAAGACAAATGTATAGAATAGCCTTGTTAACAGTTTATACACACCACAGGGAAAAATCCAACCCAATGTTTGTTTTGATAGTGAGTTAGAACTCATGGCATGACCATGAAATCTTAAATTTTGTTTTTAATTGCTTTTTAATAAAATTTAATATTTTATTTTTCTCACATTGGTTTAGACAATCCAGATTTGTTCTTGAATAACCTTTAATTTGTCAGAGAAACACTTTTTTGGGATATAGTTAGATTAAATAACTCATTTAATTTTTTGCTCTAAGTTGTTGACTTGTCATGGAAGTATAGAATCTTAAAGAATTAGAAGTCAGCTTGGGAAGTTATTTAGTTTAAAACTTCAGCTTTTGCAAGAACCTTGAGGTCGTGTAGTCTGTATTTGATCAATACACCATGATAAGGAATAAAGAAATTTTTCTGTATACTAACTAATTTATTTGTTAAAAATGACTGTGGTCTTTTTTTTTTTTTGGTATGGGGAATTAGAGGTGAGGAATCTTCTTTTAGTAGTGCATATATGTCCTAACATATTCTTAGACTTGGTGGGGGTATGGGGGGAGCCCTGAAAGGATAAATGACTTCTTATTCCCATATGTGTGTGTGTGTGTGTGTGTATCTATGTATATAATCAAGTGTTCTAGATTCCAAGATTGGATCTGAATCCAATACAGTACTAGGCTATAGAAAGTTCTTACCTTTTAGCTTCATCCACTGTATCTTGTTCTATACTCTGGAGCCACAAAGAATATCTACTCTTTATTCTGTATGACAGCTCTTCAGATGTTTGAACATACCTGTCATGTTCTCTCTAAGTTTTTTGTTTTCCAGGCTAAATATGCCTAGTTTCCTTAAGCTGTTTCTTGTAGGATTTCACTATATTGGATACTCTTATCTGGACACATTCCAGCTTAAAATGTCTCTCTTAAAATGTACCCTGATCAATGTTAGTAAAATACTGTGGAACTTAAAAGACATGTTCCATCTCTCTGTTAAGAGTATTAGAGGAGTGTTTGTGATGGGAATTGTCTGTTATGTTAAAACAAAATGTGTGTGTGTGTGTGTGTGTGTGTGTGTGTCTCTCTCTCTCTATATATGTATATATACATACATATATAGTATATATACATACATATATCTGTGTGTGTGTGTGTGTGTGTGTGTATATTTTTTTAAAAATATGTAGCCAGATTTGTACTGAAGACTCAGGGTATGTTCTGATGAAGAAGAATGCAGTAGACCTGTCACCTCTCATTCTGCTATAATTTTCGAATGCTCTTCCATTCATGTGACCCACTTCACTAAGTTTTAGTGATACCTGTGGGATTATATACCTCCTTACATAAAAATTGCAAGTTTGTTAACTATAAGTCTACATTGACTTAAAGACAGCTGAGATCATAAGTATTTCCTCTTTCTAGTTACTTTGCATGTGAATTACTGGCTGCCATTTTTTTGTTTTGTTTTGTTTTGTTTTGGCACCATAATGGATAGCAGCATAGTACCCTGCAAAGAAAAATGGATTTTAATTTAGAGGATCTGAGTTTGAATCCTAGCTGTATCACTTAACTACCAAATTCACTTCCCCTCTGTGGTTTTTATATGTATTTCTAAAATGAAGGACTTGGACAAATTAATCTCTAAACTTTTTTGACCTGTAATTTTAAATGTAAATAAATGGATTAAACAATCTAATACAGTGGAAAAGGATAGCAAATTAAAAAAGTAAAATCCGACAATCTGTTGCTTATAGGAAGCATACTTAAAAAACAAAGACACAGACAAAATAAAACTGTGGGGAAGGAAGATATTTACTATGCATTAAGTGAGTTCCAAAAAAAGCAGGAGTTGCACATATGCTGTCTGACAAAGGGAAAACAAACATTCAAAAGAAAAAGGGATAGGGGAACTATATTATGCTGAAAGGAATCATAGACAAAAAAAAAACCAAAGCAAAACCGGTGTCAGAACTAATAAACCTATATGCTTCAAATGCCTTAGCATCCAAATTTGTAGAAGAAATATCTGAGCTACAGGAAGACACAGTAGTGACAGGAGACTTCAGTATCCCTCTCTCAGTTTTGGATAAGTTTAACAGAAAGAGAAACAAAAGGTAGAAATATGGAACTGAACAAATTACTACAGAAACAAACTACTATGGAATTAAACATCTTATGGTGTCTTCTAAATGGGACATCAAAAGAACATAAGTATTTCTCAGCACTACATGGTACTTTTATAAAAAATGTATATGTACTAGGGCACAATGATTTTACAAACAAATGTAAAAGGGCAAAATTAGTTAATATGTCTTTTAAAGATCTTAACACAGTAAAAATAATTGGTGAAGTGAGCACAAACAAAAAATGCAGACCTAAATAGAGAACATTGAAAATCTAAATAATGAGCAGGTCAAAGAACAAATCTTAGAAACAATAATTAGGTAAAAGAATATAATAATGAAACATCGCAAAATTTATAGGATGCAGCTAAAGCAGTCCACAGGGGAAATATTGTATTGTTACATTAACAAAACAGAAAAAGAGTGAATGAACTGAATAGTCATTTTTTTAAAATTAGAAAGCCAGCAAATGAACAAACCTAAAAAAAGAGCAGAAGAGGAAATATTAAAAATTAAAGAGGAAATAGAAACATTGGAAGCAAAATAAAAATCCATTGTTCAATAAAACTAAAAGCTGGTTCTTTGGAAAGATGAATTAAGAACAGTCAGCGCGTATTATGCATATCTATATGCTAACAAAGCTTAAAAAACAAAAGAAATAGAGGAATATCTTCAAAAATAAAAGTCTCTGGAGAGAAAGGGACAGCTCAATTTCAAAAAAGGAAGTAAATCTACCAGTAAAGGATCTATCAAAGGAAAAGAAAAACTATGTATTCATAGAATTCTGTCAAAATTTTAAAGAATATTTAGTTCACATACTTCACAAATAATTTTCAAAAATTGGGAAAGAAAGCACTCTGCCAGAATGTTTTTATGATATAGTCTTTTTTTTTTCTTTTTTTGGCCGAGACAGTGAGGTTAAGTGACTTGTCCAGGGTTACACAGCTAGTAAGTGTTATGTGTCTGAGGCTGGATTTGAACTCAGGTCCTCCTGAATCCGGGGCCGCTGCTTTATCCGCTGTTCCACCTAGCTGCCCCTGTGATACAGTCTTAATCAGGGATGGGGAACCTGCAGCCTCCAGGCCACATGTGGCTTTTTAGGTTCTTGGGTACAACTTTTTGACTGAGTCCAAGTT